TTCATCAAGGACCTAGATTTGCCCTAAACCTTTGGAGGGCTTTTCCCCTCTCATAATAATACTTAGTAAAGTTAAAATTAAAATAATCATTTTTGGTGGAGGAGCCGGGTATTAAATTATTGTATAAAACATGTCAAGTAAAATGAAGTAGATTCTTTTCAAAAACAATCTTCACCATTAAAACAAATACTCTTTTGTTTATGAATTGGTATAGATTCAAAGAACTTGGGTTCAAAATAGATTTTTTTTTAAACTTTAGATAAATTAATCTCTAAATGTACGATTGTAATTCAGAATTTTCAAAATAGATTATTTTTATGTCTTGGAAATATTAAAACAATCTATATAAATTTATCCATACTTTTTTGAAATAATATTCCATGGTATTGTACTCATTGGTATTCAGATATATAAAACAACATTGGAATATAGCGTGGTTGAATACGCTGTGCACGTAGGTATTAGAGCGGTAGCAAACATAAACTATTAGAGGTCAACAATAGGGGATGATTGGGAGCGCTTAGTAAATGTACGGGGCTCCTCACTTGTCAATGCGACAACATTGAAGCTTCAACTATTGAACGACCGTATTTCATTGTTACACAAATATTATTTGCTCTTGGTTTTCCCAAAACGTGCCGCGTTTATACACAGTACGTTTACGTGCATTTTCGATAAATACTCAAAGAACTTGATGATGTAATAATAATTTGCCGACTGCGCGGACTAATTTCGGATGAATTCGGACCGTCAATACTAATATTACTGTGGGCTGGTAGCTCGAAATTAGATAAAACGAGAAATCGCTTGGGGCAATATTCGAAATTTATTGTACGCTGGCAGTCGGTTCTTGTTCGGATTTCGTTTGCATGAAATTAACATTTAAATTGAAAATATACAAATAATTGACGGCGTTACCGGATCTGGTCATGGACCGATACAAATTGATACCGAGAGGGTTGGACGAAAGATAATATACATGCTAATTGCTTAATCCTATTAATTGCGACGAAATTTACATCTATCTCTTAAAGCACTTTGCAATACAACCGCAATTGAATATTAAAATATTAATACCTTGATAATATCACAACGAATTATATTCCCATTAAATGTCTAAATAGTAATGATAAACGATCCGATGTAATATTAAAATATGAATTATTAAAAAATTGCTTTTAAAATTGTTTGAACAAATTGTAATAAACGTTTAAGTCCGATAGAACGCATTTGTATTCCGGGTGACGACTTAACGAGGAGGTAAAAAGCAAATGAAAATAAATGCTTAAGGGAACTTTACGCAAATACAGTACTAATTGTAGTAGTGTCGTGGCAGTTATGAAACTTAGCGGTACGACTTCATCACGCAATTGCAAACTAAATACAATTAGCAACGTAACGAAGACAAAGCGTAATTTTGGCGATAATTAATGGTGCAGGGCCGCACGTATCGCATTGTTTTGGATCCCTGGATGTTCGTTTATTGCGGGACAGCATTTTGCTGTAACTCGGTTTGCGAAAGCACGAAATTCTACTCTGAAAACTTTTAATTCCGTAACTCCAAAATGAAAACTTTGTATCTGTAAATATATCCAGGAAAACTTTATTTATTTTGGTACCATTGTTTTTTTTTTAAATATATTTACTAAAAATCAAATAAAAATTGTCAGAGGAAATACAATTGGAAATCGTGCACAATAAAGTGGAAAATGCATCAAAAATTTTTTTGGACCAACGACATTAAATCACGAACGATATTTTTCATTTAGAATTTATGGTGGGAATCGAGAATTTATTAAAATGCGAGAATCTTTTTTTGTAACCTTTTTTTGGGTACGAATTCAATTCTATTTTCAAATATTATAAATAAAAATAAACTTTACGCGCAACTACTGCAGTGAACAAAAATTGCTGGTTATAAACGATTCCAAAAAAAAATCGTTCTAAAAACTATATAAAAAATAATAATAAGGTTACATACGTTGTATATCACCACTAATAAATTTCACCCAACAGCGGCGAGGCGAAATTGGTCCCATTATCAAATAAGTTAACCCATTACTCAACGCGATTTCGTGGTGCAATTGAAAAAGTGGCCGAGAAACAGTGGTTATTTGTAAGTGAGCGTTGAACGTCAACGCCACTTGCTACGGTTATAAAGCACACGTATTGCACCAGTTCTAACTTGCAATTTTTCTTCTATTTTCGAACAACACGGAGCCGCCCAGCCCAAATTCGGTTAGCGTGTTTTGCATACGGCCCGTGAAAAAGTGGGCGCGCTTCGAACGGAACCCAGACTGCATTACGCGAGCTTTAACCCACGCCTAAAAGCTCGACCCTTAAAAAACAGCTTTAGTCTGAAAGTTTAAAGAGACTTCTTAAAAAATTGACGATTCTTAGCTCAACTTTCTCTCTCCCTTTTTCGAAAGCTTATTCCTTGCATTAAATAGCTTTTAAAGTTTGTTGTCAATATTTAATGTTTTATCTCAATGGTGAATTTATTATGGTAATAAAACGTTAAAACATCAAACGTTATCGATTTTAAAAGAGATTAGTTAAAATTTTACAAAATTTCGATTTCATTTTTAGTACTGGTTTCAAATATTAAATATTCATCATCAGGAATTTGATTAATCAATAAAAATTATTCGTTAGCTTTATGGCACATTCAAATTTCGACATATTTGGGGAATTGTAGCGCTACTTTGCATAAAAAATTACTATGTTGCATATTTTTATTACACTAAAACTAGAACTAACACTAGACCTAGAACTAGAAACATTCGGGTTTAGCCGTGCGTCTGAAGACGCACGGCTAAACCCGATACTTTCTAGTTCTAGGTCTAGTGTTAGTTCTAGTTTTACACTATCACTACAACTAACACAGGATCTACAACTAGAATCATTCGAGTTTAGCCATCTTGAGAGACGTGCGGTTAAACCTAAATGTTTCTAGTTCTAAGTCTAGCGTTAGTTCTAGTTTTACACTAGCACTAAAACTAGAATTAACACTAAACCTAGAACTAGAATTATTCGGGTTTAGCCATCTTGAGAGACGTGCGGCTAAACCTGAATGTTTCTAGTTCTAAGTCTAGTATTAGTTCTAGTTTTACACTAGCACTGTCACTAGAACTAACACAAGACCTAAAACTAGAATCATTAGGGTTTAGCCGTCTTGAGAGACGTGCGGCTAAATCCGAATGTGTCTAGTTCTAAGTCTAATGTTAGTTCTAGTGACAGTGATAGGTAGCGCTAGTTAGCATAAGATATCACTATGCTGCATATTTTTATTGCACTAAAACTAGAACTAACACTAGACCTAGAACTAGAATCATTCGGGTTTAGCCATCTTGAGAGACGTGCGGCTAAACCTGAATGCTTCTAGTTCTAAGTCTAGTGTTAGTTCGAGTTTTACACTAGCACTGTCACTAGAACTAACACAAGACCTAGAACTAGAATCATTCGGGTTTAGCCGTCTTGAGAGACGTGCGGCTAAATCCGAATGCATCTAGTTCTAAGTCTAATGTTAGTTCTAGTGACAGTGGTAGGTAGCGCTAGTTAGCATAAGATATCACTATGCTGCATATTTTTATTGCACTAAAACTAGAACTAACACTAGAACTACAACTAGAAACATTCAGGTTTAGCCGCACGACTCTCAAGACGGCTAAACCCGAATGATTCTAGTTCTAGGACTTGTGTTAGTTCTAGTAACAGTGCTAATGTAAAACTAGAACTGACACTAGACTTAGAACTTGAAACATTCAGGATTTAGCCATCTTGAGAGACGTGCGGTTAAACCTAAACGCTTCTAGTTCTAAGTCTAATGTTAATTCTAGTGACAGTGGTAGGTAGCCCTAGTTAGCATAATATATCACTATGTTGCATATTTTTATTGCACTAAAACTAGAACTAACACTAGACCTAGAACTAGAAATATTCGGGTTTAGTCGTGCGTCTTCAGACCTACTTTTGGGTTGCTGACGGTTCGAGACCTCGGTTTTTTATTTTTCATCCTATACTTCCGAGTATAATTTTTACACTATTTGGTATTCCCATTTATTTTAATATTTGATGCTCCTCGATTTATTTCTGGATGGATAAGTGACATGCCCAGTTCCTGTAAGAACATTTACCATCTCCTTTGGCAGAAACATTTACCATCTCCTTTGGCAGAAACATTTCCAGCTCAACCAGTACATTTTTATTCCAAATAAACGCATTGTATGCCGCAATGTCCAAATAACTCATTAACAATGTAAATGGCCATCTTCTAGTACTTCTGCGTCAACTATATTCTTGAATGAGTTTGTCCAATAGGTCAACTCCACTTCTTGAGCTAATAACGACCACAATCGAGTCATTTATAACCCAATATATAAAAGTATAAACTAATTGCATATCACATAATTATAATAATACTAGAGAATATATGAAAGGACAATAACACCAAGCTTTGATTTCATATGCTATGTAAAAAGATATTGTTTTCGGGTCATTATTGACCCAGTCTTGCTCGTACAAGTGTTAAAAGAAACATTTTAATATAATGATGCAATTTAGTAAACTTTATAATATTTAAATACTTTGTGAGGTATAAAAATGGCAGAAAATGGAATAGGCACTTCGGAGAGACTTTTTTATGACTTTTCTCCGGCAGTGAGGCAGGTAATCCTTTTTGCACAGCCGTATATAGAAGCGAGACAGTTAATAAAAATAATAGCGAAAGTTTTTATGTGCGAGGGAGTGATTCATTGGAATTCAACCAAGAATTTTATTGTTATGGCGCTACAGCTAAGTCTATAAAAGGTAAACTTCTTTAAACGCGAAACGGTCGAAACGATCAAAGTTTAAAGTGGCTGCGAAATACAGCGGAGTTATATTTCATTTCGAAGTTTCCGGCAATAATTATCATTTTTATCTGTTGCGTTTCGAAGAAAACTCCTCCCAGACTATAATCGTGTCAGACACTAAAGCTTGAAATCTCTTTTTGTTTCCAGGCGTCGTCGGACTGTTGACCTCTGAAAGGGCCTTTGTTTCCGGAAACCCATCCCCTTCACAGGATGCTTTTATCACCCAAACGGTTTACGGATTCTTGGATTTCACCACAACGATTGGCAACACGGTCATGATATTTTCCCCGCAAAGTGCGACACCAGGTAATTCTCCAGACAATATTGGAAATTTGCATAGTTATGTGAACAGATGCTCACAACGACGTACAAAATAAACATCGGAATATATCTCATAATAAAATTTATTTTTAGAAGGGGACACAAAGCCATCCCAACCGGCCGCAAACGTGATTGACACAAAACCTACAACACTCTCGAAAGAAATCATTATCAAACCAAGCAAAACCGTCCACAAGGAAATTCAAATTAAATCGGAAGTAAAAGAAATTATTTCCGTTGTAAATACGGAACCAAAGAAAATTATACAATCAAGCGTAGTCGAAGTGAAACCTATTATAGCGAGCAAAGTTAGCGTCGTAAACGTGGAACCTATTACATTAAGTAAGGTGGAAGTAGTTTCAGCGAAAAAAGAAATAATCTCGAAAGTTGAAGTCGTTTCATCATCAACAAAATCACCACCAATTATAGTAAGTAAAGTGGAAATTATAGAAGATAAACCGTCGATAGTATCTAAAGTTGTCGAGGTACAAATCGACGAAGAACCCGCCGTGATTGTTGGTAACAACATCGGAGAGCCCGAATACGACTTCTTATCGCGACAACCATCCGAAGTCGTCGAGGAAACTTATAAAGTGGTAAATTTAAAACCCAGTTCCAAGTTTAGACTAAAACATCGATCGACCGCCGATGCGAAAGCAAAACCGACGAAAAGAGTCGATTCGCAACATCCAACCGGTTTAGTTACGAAATTAGGAGGAACTGTAGTTAAAGATGGTGTTACCACGGTCCACGAGACCAGCGTAATAGGAACATACATTTCCGGGAAGTACGCGCAAGTGCTACAAAGCACTTCGCATGTGTACAATAAGCACCAAAAGGGAAAAATTAATCCCTCCTCAACTTTAAGGATACTGAAAACGGCGGCACCTTCCATCGGTAAAAGCAATAAACACAATAGGCACTTGGAGCCGACTCCGTCGGGGTCTATTAACGAAGAGACCGCCCTCATCGAAGGCCCGTCCGGGAAAGGAGCACGGAAACAAGGAGGATCCCAGTTTAAGAGATTTAAAAATAAACAGCGCGAGCAAGAAATAGAGGAAAACGAAGCCCAAGACTTGGAAAATCACCACAAGCGCAATTTTAAATCCAGACCGACAGCTCAACAATCCTCCAGAAAGTAAGTAGAGTAAATAGGTCCGAACCTGCCTCGTTATTAGATTAGGCCACCACTTCTTCGCTCAATTATCGTACCGTTTTGAAGGGCTATTTTCTTTTCGAGGGTCTACTTCCTTCCTTTGGTGGTTGCCTTCGGTTCGGCTTTTCTTTCTTTTCCGAACACGGCACGTCTTATTATATTATAATAACTTAATGCTTTCATTTCCGTTTTAATTGGACGTTCCGTGTTCTATGTAGATATTTCTGTAACTAATTTCCCACTTGTAAATAATAATACAGACAGCACACCACACTCAGACCTAAAAAACGGGGTGGCAATAGGTCGAAACAATCGAAACCTTCAACTGTCTCTGTACACAGCGAGCAAACAACATCACCACCTTCATCTTCATCAAAACGTTACGGCTCGTCTCGACGAAGTAAAGCGAAAGTGTCAACTACACAAGAATCTTCCCCAAGCCACTCTTCATCCCGAAGAGGTTACAAGCCGAAAGCCGTGCAACCAACTCCCGCCGAGTCAAGCGACCAAACCACTAGTTTGTACAAGTTTAAATTGAATAGGTCCCCCGGAAGATGGCAATACAAGACGACAGCTAAGCCCAGAGTGAACATCAGAAAGCAATCTGATGATGCAGAGGAAAACAACGACGCTTCTCAGCAGGATTCCGCCTCGGCTAATGACGTCGTAACGCCGCAGGCTCGATCCGACGACACCGAAGGTCTCGTAGGATCCGAATCCATCGCGACCCTCATCGACGACGAAAATTCAACCGAGAACAAGCTGGACTCGTCGCACCCTCTAGAAACCATCAAAGTGGAAATTTCCACGCCCCCGGACTTTAAGGACATTTATTACGAAATAGCTACCATCAAATCGCCCTACACTTTTCAGGTAAAACTCGGTTAAGGTCTCATCTATAAACGATTGATGTGCACCCTCGGGGCAATAGCTTCAATTTACCCTCGATGGGGAAATTTAAGAACGCAATCTAACGAGATAGTAAAAAAAAATTTTTTAACTAAAAACTAAAATAAGATTCAGATTTATAAAAAAGTTTTAGATGTTACGCAATCTAATTATAATTATATAGCACTATTATTATATAACATTATTATATAACACTAGACCTAGAACTAGAAACATTCGGATTTAGCCGCACGTCTCTCAAGACGGCTAAACCCGAATGATTCTAGTTCTGAGTCTTGTGTTAGTTCTAGTCATAGTGTAAAACTATTTATAAAAACTATCGGGTTTAGTTTTAGTTCACTAAAAACATACAGTGTGTTAATTAATATCGTACCCGACGTCATAATTGCAAGTATGCAACCAATATCACAGTGTAATACGCAAATCGCGTATACTGCGATATTGGTTGCATACTTGCAGCAACATAGTAATATCTTATGCTAACTAGCGCTACCTACCACTGTCACTAGAACTAACATTAGACATAGAGCTAGAAACATTCGGTTTTAGCCACACATCTCTCAAGACGGCTAAACCCGAAGATCTAGGTCGTGTGTTAGTTCTTGTGATAGCGGTAGTGTAAAACTAGAACTAACACCAGCCGTCATAAGAGAGGTACAGCTAAACGGGATGTTTCTAGTTCTAGTGTCATAGCTTCAAAAAATTACACTGTGTAAACATGACTTTTCATTTTACTCCTCCGAATTAAAAAATAGAGTATAGATAGTAAAAAGAATGTTAACTAAAAACTAAACTAAAATTCAGATTTATAAAAGTTTTACTTAAAATTTAGGTGGGAAGTGTCAAGAACACTCGCTTCATAACAGTAACTTCAACATTCGAGAAGAGCTTAGATAGGACGGAGTCGACCATCTCACCAACAATGACCGAACCGCTAACGGAGAACATTCTAGCAACGTCCAGTAATTACGCGAAGGACAATAACTACCTAGATTCGAGTGTGGCGACGTTGCCGCACCTTTACTTGGCATCCGATATGGAGACTCCGCCGTTAGAAACGGTCACCGAAACGTTCAGTACGACACAAACTATGTTGAAGACACACATCCTGCCCGTAATCAAGGGTGGAAACGAGACAACCAGTTACACTTTGGTTCAAACTTTCCACATCTCCAGGTGGGTAAGTTTCACAATCGGGACATTGTTTGACATCGTCTTCCCGTTTCAGACTCGTTACCGCTACGAAGACTCTCCCACCAATGGAAGCCTACCAGTTTATACCCAGCAGAACCTTGAACGAGTTCAATAGTCACCTGGACGAAGCAGGATCCGAATTACACCTGGAGTTAGAGTTTGGAGACGATAACGACGAAGAGGGAGATTCTAGGCCGAAGAGGATCTTCCCCGCAGACTTGGATTTAGCAAGCATTGGTTCGGATATCTCCGATCTCTCCGAGGTGGATAAGAGTAGAATCCTCGAGGGTAAACGGGCGCGAAAGGATCACCATCAGGCGACGACTCCACGCCCTGTTACAGAACCCCCTCCACCTCCAGGATTAAGCCCCGAACAGTTACAACAGTTGGCGTTCTTGCGTTTACTTAATCCAGCCGCGGCGGCTCTGCCCCAAGGCCAGGTTTTCACCACCTCGAAACCCGTGCTTAAGGTCGAAACTGTGTACGAGTCCCACGTTATTCCCATAGTTAACGGTGGGAACACGATCTTTACGACCCTCTCCAAGTCCTTAGGTAACGTAACGCGTTGGGGGAATTTATGAGTTTGGGGTTACGGTAATCGATACCGACTTGTTTAACGGTAGTAATCTATTTTTAATTGCTTCCACCAATAAAAATTTGACATGACTTACATTTAATTCTTTAATTTTATAGGTTTGGTAACAAAAACGGAATACGAATATGGAACCAGTACAGTTTCACCTCTTCAAAATTTACCAATACCGCCGGTAAATCCCTTATTCCCAGTTCAACAACAGCAAGTAGGTCAGTTTGCGGTCACATCTTCTCCAGTGGTTCAAAGCACAACGGTGACGGCAACCGAAAGTAAAGTTTTGAAGTTAACTTTCGGTGCAAAAACGGCCTATACTACGATATTCTCGACGAAGCTTGTACCAACGCTTTTGACGACTTATATGACGGCATCGGTGCCTGTGCAACCGACGGCTGCTTTTCCAGGTTATTTCCCAGCACCCTACCCCCCTTTTCCTTACGTCGGTTAAGTGGGATGAAGAATTAAAGACTTTTTAAGTGCTAAAGTGACTATAAACTTTTAAACCCTCCATAAACGATTTTGTATATATAATGTAAAAAAGAGACAATTAAAATTTCCTTACTTATTTTAAATATTTGTAATATATTATTTTTTAATAATAAAATATATTTAAACTGATTCTTTTTCTAAAAATTGTGTAAATTTTGAAAAGCCCTCTACGAAATAGTCGTCGATTTCTGTCAGGTTCGCGCACTTTATCCGGTTTCAAGTTTCCTCTATCGAAGCTCAATAAGTCAGGGAAGCAATTTACGGGGTTAGGGCAGCTGTAATTACTACTCGAACGTTAAAGCTAATACTCCATTCCAGTATCGCCAGGTCGTGACGACCAAAGGCCCTCGAACGGTCTCGGTTTGATAAATTGATAGGAGATGTACAACCGAACGCCGCCGCCTTTGAATAGTAAATTATTTGCATTGGAATAAATCAATGCGAGTGGAGATAAATTGGAGGGACGACACGGAGTAATAAATCGTCGCAGGGGTAGATATTCGCGATAAAAAGCCGAGCTTCCGATGCCATTGTGAATAAGTAAACGGCCCGGATCCGTAACAATGTCCTCGTTTGCCGGTCTTAACTCGAGATGCATTCTAAAAACAACCAAAAAAAAATTAATCGCTTAATTATCAAGGAAGCTTAGTAATTTATTACTACACTCTATTTTTTTATTCGAAGGGGAGTTTTCAAATTGAAGCGTCAAAAAGAAGGGTTGCTATTGGGCAGTTTTAAGCAAAAATTACGCTAGGAAAATTCGAGGTGTTGTCGGCCGCCCAAATGATTCTACTTTTTCTTGTGTTAGTTCTAGTTTTAGTTCAATAAAAATATACAACATAGTAATATCTTATGCTAACTAGTGTTACCTACCACTGCCAATAGACCAAAAACTAGAAACATTCGGGTTTAGCTGCACGTCTCTCAAGATGGCCTATATATAGCAAGCTACAGCTTTAACTATATACCTATACTATGGAGGAAAGTAAAGGTGGTTTTCATACCTAAAGGTGGTAGACGTTCAAACGCCGACCCCAAGGCATACAGACCAATTAGCCTAACTTCATTTCTCCTAAACGGGATGGAAAAGACAATATCAATACCTTAGGAATGGAGTCACTAATCCACTTCATCCTAGTCAACATGCTTACCAGAAATCAAAATCAACAATTACTGCTCTCCATGCTTTGACTAGCACTTTAGAGGAGACAATTGCAACCAAAGAGATAGCCCTATATGCTTTCATAGACATAGAGGGTGCTTTTGATAACACCTCCTATGAATCCATAAAGAATGCTCTAAACGTTAAAGATATACATGCGTCGACAATCAAATGGTGTATAGCCATGTTGAAAAGTCGGCAGATCACAGCCAGTCTGGGAGGCGAGTCATTGACTATTAAGGCGCTAAGAAGACGTCCCCAAGAAGGAGTGCTCTCTCTCCTATGGTGCCTGGTAGTTGATAACTTGATGAGAACACCTTAACAAAAAATGGATTCTTGATTCATGGGTATGCTTATAATCTGATAATCACAATCCGAGGTACATATGACGCAATCATAGCTCAACTAATGTAGAAACTGCATTTTTTCTGCTTTTAATAAATAAAATCTTAAGTTCTGAATAGACTAGACGCTTTTTAGACTAGTATTACCTAGTCTTAGACTAGTATGACCTTATGGGAAAACAGAGCAACTTTTTCTGCTTAGTATTGACTGGTTCAATTTTTCCCACAACTTGATTATAGCAAAAATATGCAATATCTGGAACACGAAGAAACTCATACGACTTGTTGACTTCTGTTGAAGCCTATTTTCGGACAAAGTTTCTCTCAAAGTCTTCAGATTCATCACAGTTAATTTCACTTAGATAGTCTTCAGTTTTATTTAGGGACTTTGTTACTTGACCTATGTAATACTTAAAATTGTTAGCCTTTCCTTCAACTGGAAAACTGATGACCAACTAGGTGTTGGTCTTAATATTTTCTTTGGCTATGTGTGTAATGTTTTCAAAAAATCTTCCATTTCTTTGAATTCCCTTTGAACATTTATCTTTGGTTTGGTTTTCTTTTTTGATCTCAAAAAATGACGGCCCAGCTTTCTCACTATTTACTTCATTTTCTTCTTGAGTCTGTTCTTCAACATCGTGTTCTTCAACATCGATTTCGTTCTCAATCTCTTTTCGGAACTGCTGGCTTCGATAGTTAGTCTGAAATCTGACAATGCCACGCTCTTCCCGGCTTTCACTTTCAATTTCTTTTTGCGATCTCGACTTCTAGTATCAGATTCGTCGCCATAGAGAAGATTTTTCAAGTAGGAATCTACTGAGTTGTTCACATCTTGAAAAACTCCAGTTTGATCTTCTTCTGATGGGTAAACGACTCAACACTTCTTGCTTGTTTTGAGGATAAATCCCAGCTTTTCTGAAACCCGAAATTATGTTAGTTGCCTCGTTGGGTTTGATTTCGTCAAAAAGTAATTTCAAAAGATGGGGAAATTTATCCTTTGAGACAGATCCTTTTTTTGCCCCTGAAGACATTTTCCAATTGGTAAGAATTGCTTCTAATCTTCCGTTTGCTTCTATTGAATCTTGTACCTCTTGACCCCCCAGCTGTCCAAGAATCGTAAAGATGTATGGCTGGATCGTCCGACAGGTTTGTCTCGTCATAGTTGAATATATTTTCTGGTGGTACATCTCTCAGTTCTTCTTCTAGATGATCAAAAAAAATTGCCTATATCACGAGGTGACACCTGCGCTCTAGATCTTTTGATATTTTGACAAATTCGTGTTCGCAAGTTACTCACCAGGACTTGGTGCAAAAGCAATGGGCTCAGCATCAATCCAAACAAAATCGAAATACTCGCTTTCACCCGGAGGGAGGTACAATTGAGAGCACCCTCCATTGAAAACAGAACTATTAACCTCAAAACAGAAGTTAAATACCTAGGGGTAATACTAGACAGTACATTAAACTGGAACTCCCACATAAACAAGGTGAGGAGAAAGTAAGTCCATTATGGCTAACCAGATCTGCTGCAAGCTCCTCGTAAGGAACTGGGGTCTCAAACCTTAAACTGAAAACATGCTCTTCACTCAAGTTGATGCAGGGTAACCTCAGACAACACCTCGAAATCCTCGAGGACCCTTGTCTAAATTACTTGATTGAAATTAAAACGGACCTTATACCGACAGAATACAATTTCGATCAGCCGTATATGGTCATATTCATATTAATGAGAGGAGCCCGATGCTTCAAAGACAGATTCGGAGTAGGCATGGGCATCAGTAGACCAAATAGCCACATTAAAAAACCCCTCAGCTCGGACATAACCATTTTTCAAGCAGAAATTCTTGCTGTAAACTTCTGCTCCGCTTTGAACCTACAAAAGGGACAGAAAGGTGCATCCATAAACATTTTCATAGACCAAAAATTGCCTTAAAAGCAATTCAGGCCTACACTTGTAACTCCACACTAATCAGAGAGTGTACCAGCAACCTGAGAGAACTCACTGACTATTCATTTTACTCCTGCGAATTAAAAAATAGAATATAGCTTAACTAATGATGATTATTGAAGCAAAAAAAAATTAATTTAAAATCCTCAATAGTATAATTCTGATTCCCCCATGGGTTGAATATGCAAATTTCCCTACACAAATAGATCAACGGACCGTTAACGCTTCCGTAATTACCAACTTGTTTCAGGCACACTTCGCGTGGGTGCGCGGAAAAATTGAAATTCGTAATTTGTGTTCATGAACGCTTACATTACCGATTTATTCCGTACTGATGGATATGTATCCTAATTTTTTATTGTAACAAACTTTTCAAATAAACTTATCTAAAAAAAAAATGCTGGAATGATTATGATTGGTTACCGATAGGAAAAATTCATCTTCAAGAATAGGATATTATTTGTTCGATCGATGGGAAGAACGAATTTCGAGGGAAATATCAGAATTCGCCTCTATTGATTGCAACTCAGGGGACGCCCAAATATAATGCGCGACTTCGGGGAGCCATTACTAAAGGAAAACTGTCGCGTTCCGGATTTTCCTTCGAGTCCGCGGTGGAGTTCTATTCCGTTTTATTGATTCTAGCTGCGCCCGATAGGAGTTCCTTTTATTATAATTATTTTGAGGGGATGCACCCCATTCCTATCGTCACTCCAGGAGCTTTTCGTCCGGAAAAATTGTGCCACGACGAAACCTGGACGTGAGGCTTATCCCCTTTCCTCCGCATGATCCCATTTTCGCGAGTTCTTTGAGTGCGGCAACCTTTTATCGCACCGGATGCACGTTATTGAACCGACCTGTTCCACCAGGACGAAATATGAAATAGAAATATGGACCGGTTTGGCGGCGACGCGATCTTTTTTGACTCTTTCCTATTACGTCCGTTCCTCCGAGCAACGCTAATAAATTGACAGGATATTACTTCCTCAATAATCTGCCTCCTGGCTACAAGAACACGAGGCCCTAAACCGAATCGAATTTACTAATTCGTCATCATGAACGATATCGAACTTGTTACAGGGGTATGATGTGGGTTCAACGAATTTGTACGTTTAATCAACATCAATCATTCGATAATATTTCTTTTTACTCCGATAGAATTAGTAAATTATTAATAACTAAAGTTTATTTGTCTGAAAGTTTTCCTATTAATTACGCTCCTGATGATTATAAAGGCAATGTTCCATTTTCTAAGAAAAAATAATATAAGAAAAAATCTAATAAGAAACAATTAACATAAAAAAACTTTCAACACTGTTCTACAACGTTGTCAATTTGTCAAATGACTCAGGTAAAAGTGAGACTTCAGGGTTATTTGTGGGTTCAACGCTTGAGTAAACGAGTACAAAAATAGATAAGTAAATTTTAACAAAACTCTCTATTATCTTTTAACTTGTCGTTAATACGAAGTAAATTAATTAACCAGTTTTAATAATTGAATTATACGTAATGAAAATGTAATAACATAACCAAACTAAGTAATAAGACAAATTACCTAATCGTATTTAAGGTAAGTGAAATTTTAAATTGAAAATTAAAATAAAAAAAAAACAAAAAAAAACAAAATAAAAATTATAACTTATCTTGTAGTTCACTGAAGTTTTCGGATAAGGAAATTTGGACTCTTCAAAAGGAATCGGTAACAATGATTCTTGATTGGATTGGAATAATTCTTCGGAATGGTATTCTGGATTAATTGGATCAGGAACCACTTCATTTTCTTGGTTATTATTAAAGGTGAATAATTTTAATCAAAACAATCTTCTTATTTAACTTATTAAATAATAAACTTATTATTTAATAATTTTTTGAGGTTATGTCACAATGGTGTTTGACAGGTAACCTAACTTTTGATTTTTTAAGATGCTCGCGAACAAAATTTAGCACGCACTCCTCACCACGTTTGAAATCACACTAAAATCTACCAGTTTCCTTTGTTTATTACTAGAAGGGTTTAAATAACGTTTTCTGATTGGTCAAATTCTTAAACTTGAAATTCGTAATTTAAATTTCTCCGATATTGCCAACTTTGAAATGTCAAATGTCACCGATTATATTTTATCAAAATTTTTATTTTAACAATATTTATGTATGAAATGTTGTAGTTTTGTTGCTTTTACTTTGTTTGTGCTGATTTTGAAACATTTTCTTTTAGATTTCAACGTCCAGCTTCAAAAATATTTTAGCGGATTTTCGTCCAATTCTTCATCAAAACTACCATATGATTAGATGGTTTTCGTTCTTGACATGCTAAGATTATCTTTTTTAATAATTTTAACCTAACAAACATGAATTACAATAAGAAATTAATGAAAAATGAAATTTGAGGTTATGTTACTGTCAAAATTCCACAAAATTACTTCGTATTGACTTTACATGGATTAAATACAATAAAAAAAGGTAAATGGTCAACAATACATCATGAATTCTAACATGTTTAACACATTTTATTAATACAAAGACAAATTTCAATAATTATTATTTGTAACCTCACCTATGAGTAATACGATTATGTAAAATTTCAAAAAAAATATAGAATGAGTTGGTTTGGTTGTATACAAAGCCCCACAGTGATCTCTATAGAATTCCCAAATCTTTCCCAATCTCCAATTCAAGTAATAGTTCTTGTTCAACATTGTTATGGACGATTTTCTTTCAAGCTAAACTCTAAAAATATTTTGGTTCGAAGACACATCAAAGGCCAAGTCTTTCCAGTAAGAATACTTGCGTTTCTGACTTTACCTACAGTGTTGAAATGCAAAACTTTGATGTCTCATTATAAAGCTGCCACTTGAAAAGTCCCAATATAAGCTGAACTGGACCACATATCATTATACTGTTAGCCAATCGAGGAGCAGATAACAAGGTACTCCATACTACTGCTTTTGAAATCTTAAAAATACTTATTTGATATCAACCAAAAACTTTATTGAAGTACGGATTAATTTTAATAAAGAGTTGGTCGACAACAGCTTCGACCGAGACGCTCTTATCTTGCAAAGACAAAAGCGGTTCAGAGAGGTGCGAGTTGAATATCTCCCGTTTATTTCCTGAGAACTTTTGCGGACAAAACGACTCCTCCGACGACAACGACGACCGAGAAAACTTTGTTTATTATGTCGAATAATAATGAGGTGAAAAAGGTTTCGTGCATAAATTAAAATTCCCGAATAATCTGCGCCCTTTTGAATCTTCGGGATTGCTGGGACAGCTGCAGTGACGCGACTTGTCTCAGCAAACAATAGGGGCTCTGAAAAATATTTCCCTAAGCTCCTTACAGCCCCATTGTTGGCTTTGGACCGAATTTGCAATATTCCAAGACACGCGATTGTTGTTCGAGAAGTTTATGAGATTTACCTTGCAAATTACCAACATAAGCTTTCTTTATTATTATGAGATTACACATATTAATAAAAATATATTAATAAGGTGAAACATAGAAAATTATTTCGACGAAACATTTAATCTTATCGATTCTAATCTTATCACTATTTAAACTTAGGCGATGTTTCATCGTCAGTAAGGTGTTCCAATTTGAGTGAGCAAGTGTGTAAAGTTAATAATTTAGTGAAATGGCTGGAAAAGGAGAGGGAACTATCACTAAATTGGATAATCAAATAGCTGTGCTTAAATATATGTTATTATTCTGCAATATTATATTATGGGTATGTTAATTAAATAATTTAGATTTTTCGAAATAATCGTTTCACGATGATGTCACCCAAAAATCTATATAAATCGTTTGAGTAATGTTTACATTAATAAACGATAAGGCGATATCTTTTTCAAGATAAATTCTTTGTTCTAGTAAATAATTTTTTTAAGATATATCAAAGTTTCGGAGTCGCAAATGCTTTCGCAGAGTGGAACGTACTTTTAGAACTCGCGTTGAACTTTTAAAACAATTACTATGCCGAGGAAAGTTGGAAACTTACGGAGCTAAAATCGTTTTCGAATGGGGTCATAAACAAACCTCACCGACGTAAGGTTCAAATTCAACGATAATTAAGTAACTTTGAATTATTTAAGCTATTATCGTAGTCAGGTTCCCGATTGATTCTCCCGGAAATTGTTAAATATTCATGCGGCATTGCTAACTAAGCTAGGTCCGACGAAATCTAAAAAATTTACGACCTATTAATATTTTAGAACAACAGGAAATTTTGAAACGATTTGTTTTTTTTTTCTTTTCTATGGAATTTTTTATTAGTCTACAACATTATTTTTTTAGTTTGATGTTAAAGAGACAATCGATGTTCATTACGGCGATTGAATAGGGTTGATTGAATTACCGTGTTATTAGTAAGGGAGGTTCGTCATTAGCCCGGAAAATGGGGTTAGTTTAGGGGGACGCTACCAGAGATCGTCTCTATATCTGTGATCGCTGTTTAATTGGGAAAGATAAGGGAGTTCCGTAATAGCCTTGTGCCAGTCAAACCGAACAAGGATTTGTTGATAAACGTATTCATTAATTAAGGCACTCAATAACATGTCACATCCTTTATATATTAGCGAATAATTTAATTATTTTTGTTTAGAAAGGAGGATCAAATAAGAATTCGATGAGAGCATCGAATATGAATTAAATTATGCGACCCCATTCATCATGTTTTATGGAGCCACCCTGAGGCACGCGCGTGGAAATTATGTCTACCGAGGAAAATAACTCGTTCATTTTTAATCTGTTGCGGAGAGAGAGAACGTAAAACTTTTAGACCTTGAATAATAAATAATATCAATACGTAATAAACCGAATCAATACGTTTTGTCATGACAACATTTTTTTGTTGAACATTACACGAAGAGTTACATCAATATTTTAGTATCTATCCAGGTAAAATCATGTGATAAAAAATTTCTTTACCATACGAAGTGAGGTGCATGACGACATTTCCATTCGAGGAGATGATCTACACGCTAGACTGAGTTTAGAAGTAACGAACTAGGCAATGAGGTGAACAGAGATGCCAGGAGATGGAGGTAGCATCCCTGATGGATTGCTAGAAGCTCCGCGAACGGACCGGCCATAAAATTTCACTTCAATATTACGTAAACCGAATTGCTCTCCCTATGGAACAAGAAAACCAATCAAGAGATAGTTCGGATCAAAGCAAAACATCTCTGATTCATTCCAAAACTATACAAAAAAAAACTTTATCAAACAAATTAACCTTATTTCTACATTTTCGCAATTTATTATTGTGAGATAAGATAAAAAATTATCGTGGATTTAGATCATAAAGAAAAACACCAATAAAACAGTAAAACACGCGTTTTCTCTCTCCCTCAAAATTTATATTCGCAGTTTGTTTACTTTCAGCTATGCAATCCGCGAGCATACACACAATTTACAAAAGAAACACGAAAGCTCCCTCTGCAGCAGAAGACCTGTAAACAAATGTATGCACCGCTGACGTGAAAACATGTTTAATAAGGAAGTAGGGTATTTGCCGCTACGCCCAAGACAGCGTTCGGAAATTCAGAGAATTTTAAGTAAATTAAGAAAGGCGGGCAAGCGAAAACGTTAGCTCTCGAGCTTTTCGTCGCTATGGAAACACTCGGTTAAGGTTCCCGTAGCTTTCGGGTACCAGTGAAATCATCGCCGCATTAATTAAAATTTTTGGCCGAGTGTTTACCCGGAAGCTAAAAGGTTTCGGTAAATTGTAAACAACGTTTAAGATGATTGTAATCTTTTGATGTAACGTTTGAAATAAAAAAAAAGAATATACACCGTATTAATTAATAATTAAATCGTCATCATTGCAAGTATGCAACCAATATCACAGTATTAGTATTGCAATACGCACTTTGCGTACTTGGTTGCATACTTGGTTATTTTGCATTTGAACAAGAACGAAACTTACACAATTCCTTAAGGAATAATAAAAAGTCATAAATCTAAGCGATACAAAAACCGTGCTAACTACAGAGACGTAATCGTAATCGGAAAGATTTATAAGTTGGAGCCGGAGACACGGGGGCGGTGATCCCGTATAGTGGTGGCTATTAATAACGGCTTTCTCCGAGTCTCCAATTATACCGAAATCGCTGCAAGAGAATGGCGAGCACCGTCGCAGTCCCCTTGGGGAGGACCTCCAGCAGTCCACAAACTTTCCTAATTCAATTTCGTTATGGTTTTCATCTCACGGTCGTCCGAACGAAATTAGGAAGACGTTGGAATGCAACTCCAGGGGATTCCCATACTCGTTCGGCACGAGAATTGATCTGACAATAGGAGCGTGTTGTTGTCGTCATCGTGAGACAGCGTGGGAAGATCCGATATTTACGACATCAAGATGTTTTCCCGAAAAACAATCGATAAACCCGACAGTCGTTATTGTGTCGCTTTAGTGTCGACCGAATCGGCCACTAGATCTTAATTCAGGGCGTCGTTCTTTCCAATTAAACGCCTCACTCGGCACCTAAAGGGAATTACAAGTGCCGGGCGCGCGGAAAAGAGAGGCGTTCGTTTGGAAAAGGACGGCATAGACATTTCTTTAAATGGAGATGCGACGCGACGCGACGCTCGCCCACACGAGACCGCTTTGTTTGCGAACTTTGCAAATATGAGTAATTACTTCCGAGTTTCTGGGGTTCAGCCCGACAATTGCAGCCGGGGAATCCCAACCGACTGCACGATTCTCAACCCTCTTGAATATTAATTTCGAGTGGATTTGCGATTTGCCCACAAAAATTTCTCTCTACAACCTCTTCCGGCAATTATAGCCTGTATAAATCTGATTTATTGTGTACTGCATTTTCAAACAGATTTTTTATCCTATTAAGTTTCATTATAAACCCATTATTATGATATTCATTTAAAATTATTGTATTTAAGACATCTTCAATTACTAGAAATGGCTCCTAATGGCTCCCGATAACTCCTAATGGCTCCCGATGACTCCTAATGGCTTCCAATGACTCCCAATAGCTCTCAATATAACTCTTTGAATGTTTTTTACAACAGATCGAATTATTTCCAGGTTTCTCAAATATCAAACACCATAATAGAATCACTTATCTGTACTATAAAATGTATAATACATTCCTACTTAGAAAATAGAACAACATAGACAATAAACTTGCAAAAAGCACTAAGAACAATCAGAGGACTAAGAAGTAGCATGGGTGCTTGGAGGTGAAACATCCCACGCTGTGGTTGTTGAAGGAGGGACTCATGAGGTCTTGTTCTCATCCCACAGGCTATTTTAGACAGAGAGAAAACGTTTTCTCATGTTCTGTAGTTGTCTAACACATAAGCTCTATATGCTAAGACGTTTCGGCAACGTGGCAGAAGTGCTGCTTGTTTCCCTGATACCTCCTTGACTTGTAAAGCACGCCTCACATTCCATGAATTGATACTTAAATCATAGACATCTCACCCCCTTAAGGAGATGTGG